TGCCTGTAGTTCAATATAAATTCTCTTACATGACTCTTGGTCTCAGCTGAGTCAGTGGTGGAGGATCAGAACCAAGAGGAGGAAGGTTCTGGTTCTAAAGGATCAGAACCAGGAGGAGGAAGGTTCTGGTTCTACAAAGTCGGGAGCTCAGAACTTTTATAGTTTTTATAGTCTAGTTGGTGCACATGGTTTATTCTTGTTAAAATTTAAAACAAACATGTAGAATAAAGTGATTTTGATGTAGTGTCACAGTTTAAGCTCAGATTCATTCATTTTCCTGATGGAACCAGAACACGTGATGAGTTCAAAGACCGTTGAGGAGCTGAAGTCTGCAGATCTTTTTCAGGCGTCACAGTTTCTGGCTGATAAATGGAGCGGCTGTGGCTTGTTGGCTGTTTGGAGGGTTAACAAACAAACAGAGCTGCTTTTATTTAGCCAACAGATGTTTCAACTCACTTACATGAAAATACAAATGAATCATGTGAAGGGATGAAGCTCCTGGAGACCAGGCTGCTCCAGAGCAGAAGAACCAGCGCTCCGTTCAGCGCCGCTTCCCTTCAGCGGCAGCTCAGTCACAGGACGGCTCTGCAGAACCAGAACCTCATGAGGAAGCTGCTCAGACCTCAGCAGCTTCAGGTTCTCCTGACGTATCCACAGCTCAGGAGCTTTAGAGGTTACAAGAGGAGTTAAAGTAGTAACGTGGCTTTTAGGGATTAGGTTGCCTGCATTATATTATTATACAGCATTAATACTATTATACAGTATTAGTACCTCCACCAAGGAGTTTAGCCAACGTTTGTTTGTTGGCTTGTTTGTTTGTTTGTTTGTTGGTTTGTATGTTAGTTATGAACGGAGCTGCTTGATGGAGGCCTGCGCTCTCCAAAGGCTTTACTAGTTATTATTATTATACAGATTTATCGGTATTATTATTATTATTATTATTGTTGTTGTTGTTATTACTGTGTAATTATTTACTATGAAGTTTCGTACAGTCACAGATTCAGTTTTTCTAGCTTTTCGAGAGACTCAGGACAGTGCTGGTTGAACTGAGTTCTAAGGGGAGGAACAGACTGTTTGCTGCTTCATTGGGTCATAGACCTGGACCTGGACCTGGACCTGGACCTGGACCCGTCTAAACGCGGTCGTGACTTCAGAGTTTTTATTCAGTGAGAGGATCAGGACTGACTCGTCCAGACGGTTCTTCTGTTCGTCAGATGTTAGAATATGTCCGAGGCTTCATCAACACCAACACATTTATGTTTAAGCACTCGTGACAGCGGCCGAGTCAAGCCTCATCAGAATCACTAAACGGTTTCTGTTAGACTCGAGGTTCTTACCGAGTCGCTCGTGTTCCTGGTCGGTGTGTTCAGCCGGAGCCACTGAAGGTGTTTCCTCTGACGGAGCTAAAGCATGAAAACGTTGAGATGCAGGTGAAGTCTGAATCGTTCTGGTGAAAAGTCCCTTTAAGAGCTTTTCACTCGACCAGTTTGCTTGTTCTTGTTTCCACCCGATCCGTGTTTTGTTCCGTTTCAAGTCGTGTATTTTGTCTGTAGCTGCTTTTACATGAACAAACATGAGACGACATAAAAGCGATTCTCTGTAAACTCAGGTTTTATGTGTCGCACCGACCTGAACACGGTGAAGTCTGAAAGGTTACAGGCGTTGTTTGGAATCGAGCAGAACGTTTTCTCACAGAACTGTTGCTATGAAGACTGAAAACTGTTTGTGGGCTCTCAGGCTGAATCTGCTGCTTGTTCTGGTTCGTTCACTTATTTGATGTTCAGAACCTGCAGACGGGTTAAAACGGGTTAACCAGAGTCACAAAGCAGTGAGACGAGCGTCCGTCTGCTGCTCAGCTTCATTGTGAATGAAGTCAACAGAAACAGGAAGTGAGCTGGAGGCAGCAGGGCGGACCGGTTCCTCTGCTCCACCCGAACACCGACTCAGACGGACCGGGCCTGAAGGAGGTCTAGCTGTGCCCATATCTGCATTCTCAGCTTTTTACTCAAATACCTTCACATTCAGATCATGTTGTGATCAAACGTCTGCCAGAATGAACCCGGAACAGACGCATGGATCTCGGTCGGACATCTCGCTGTTCTCAAGTTTCCCAGATATGATTTCAGAAACTTTTCAATTGAATTGATTTAAAAAAAAATTGTTTCTGAAGCGGGGCTACAAGGTGCCTCGGTGGTTAGCACCTTCGCCTCACAGCTAGACGGTCGCCGGTTCGTGTCCCGGTGAGGACACTCGGGATCTTTCTGC